CCTCGAACTTGGCACGGGTCAGCGTCTCGGAGAAGTCATCGCCCTCAAAGAACGATTCGATTTCGATGCGCACCTGATGGGAACCAGACAGAGCACGCTTCGCCTTCTCGACCTCACGACGCAGCTTCTGCACAGCACGATTGTCCTTGCGTATATCCTTGCCCTTCTTCTTCTTGTACAGCTTAATGAAGTGATCCATGACACGCTGATCAAAGTCCTCGCCACCCAAGTGAGTGTCACCATTGGTGGCAACCACCTCGAAGACACCATTGTCGATGGTCAGCAGGGAGACATCAAAGGTGCCGCCGCCCAAATCAAAGACAAGCACATTCTTCTCGCCCTCCTTCTTGTCCAGACCGTATGCAATGGCAGCCGCTGTCGGCTCATTGATGATGCGCATCACCTGCAGACCGGCAATGACACCTGCATCCTTGGTCGCCTGGCGCTGGGCATCGTTAAAGTAGGCGGGCACAGTGACAACAGCATGGGTGACCTTCTTGCCCAGATAGGCTTCGGCGGTTTCCTTCATCTTGCCGAGAACCATGGCGGAGATCTCCTCGGGCGCAAAGATCTTGGCGCCCTGCGATGTATCGACGCTGATGTGTGGCTTCGAGTTCTTCTCAACCACTTTGAATGGGAAGAATTTGATGTCATGCTGCACATTCGTATCGGACCATTCGCGTCCAATCAGACGCTTCGCATCAAAGACGGTATTCTCGGGATTTGTGGTCAATTGATTCTTGGCGGCATCACCAATCAGACGCTCCCCATCGGCCGTGAAGGCCACATAGGAGGGCGTGATGCGATTACCCTGATCGTTGGCAATGATCTCAACGCGTCCGTTCTTGTAAACGCCAACGCTGCAAGTGGAAAGAAAGTACGATTAAGTACTTGGCCAATTGGAAATGTAGATCAACACGCAATCCAATTGGACATTGAGCCGATCTGGCAACGCCCAATTCGAGCAGGATGACTTACCATGAGTATGTGGTGCCCAGATCGATGCCAATAACGGTGCCCAGCTCTTTGTCCTTCTCCTTCTTCTCCTCACCAAGTGAGAGGCCCACAAAGGCCACAACCGCCAATAATATGCACAACTTCATTGTGACAGCGTCCTCTTGTTATTTCTGTTATATTATTAACTAGTTTTGTTGCTTAGTCTTTGACACCAAACACAAAAAAAAGAACTGCAACGAGAGAGACGAAAAGAAAAGAATGATTAATGAAATGCGCCAAAGCTGAGCTTAGAATTTGTACACGTCAACACAAGGCCGGGGCGAGAGAGCGAGCGAGAGAGAGAATGCGAGAAATTGCCGAAAAAAATATGAAAAAAAAAAAACGCTGACGTTGACGGTGTCAACAGGTAATACCGTTAAGTGTGCTACTTTTGATAAACATTGAAGCGAGGGCTTAAGCAATTTATGGCACGCATCCGTCAGCGGCCTTAAAGATATGCCAAAAGTTCTTGAAATGGAAGTAAATCAACGCACACTTGAAATATAGGTAATACACACACACACACACACACAAAACTACCTGAAGAAAGCTCTGTGGGAGCAGCACGTCCGTCTCGTTCACTGACCGTTTAACAACTGTTAACGCCAGCCGCCGCTCTGCTCAGCACGCTGCTGACATTGACCGACGCTGCTGCTCTGCCAACGTTGCCATAGCATTCATTTTTGTATACGTGGTAACATTTTTCTGGTTCTTTCTGCTGCTATAAACTCTCCAACTCTCCCTCTCTCTTACACACACAACACACACACAGACACACATACGCCGACCACTCTCACGAACGTGTGAGTTGAACAAAAACTGGTTTTCTTTCTTTGTGCTCTCTTCTATTATTATTTTATAGAAATTTCTTCTTTAGTCATTGTTGCCGCGTTCTGCATACTCATGAACAAAATCTGTTAAATGCAATGGTATGTAACACAGCACACGGCAATATTCTCACACTCCCCGCGTCCGGTGAAAGTTGGGGCGGTGGTTGGCGGCATCTTCAGCCGGCAGCAAACGCCATCAATTTGCACAGCTGTGCTAGTTTTTCCCGCTTTACTTACGTTAGTTACTATGCGTTTGGCCGAAATAACATATAAGCCAAGCTGGTGAATCGGCTTTTATGCTCTTCTGACGTGTACTTTTGTTAACTATTGAGTTGAATAACGTATGTAGCTTGGGGATCTGTTTTAAATGACGTGTACAAAGCTGATTGAATGACTGCCAGAGCTGCCAGAGTCGCACACAAATGTGCAGAGACGCCTGGCAAGCAGACACCGATAAGTCGGCGCAGGCGCGTGTCTGTGTATGTGTGCGTTTATATATGAGAATTGAGTTTGCGTATGAATTTCTTTAATTAATTTGTTATTGCAATTGTAATCGCAAATATGAAAATCAAGTGTTGCCAAGTCAGCAGCAGCAGCCAGATAATGCAGCACTGTGGCAACGCGTACGCAACTTGAATATTGAGCAGCTGTGCGCATCTCTAGACAGCATTTGGCCAGACAGTTCAAATTGATGGCTTTATTAAAATATGCCAATATATCCAGCAGCCGGCCGGTTTAAAGTGAATGAACTTTGTTACTAATTGGTTAATGAATTATGCTATGCTAATTTGTTGCTACGGCCTATTAAACAATATGCGTTCAAAATTTTGCACGCTGTGACTACACGTCATGCGAATTTGTGGGCGAGGGGATGGAAGGGGTGCACACTGATTGTGACGTAGTGAAATTCTTGAGCACAGTTTATGAACATTCAAAGCATTCGCGCTGCAGACACTTGTATGGCAATTACGGAATGGGCGGTGGACATGTGCTTCGATTATATTCCATATGAATCGAAAAAAAAAAAACGTTCTATACCCCACAAATTTGGAGCCCATATTGCCAACATGGCGACCCCGCACAACACCACATGTGCATTTAGTTAATCAATGTGCTCGTTTTAAATACTTTACGCATTTGATTTTAATATGAGCTAATTTGAAAACTATTGGCATTTGTTGGTTGAAGAAACTTAACTTACACTTGAAACTTTTGGATGCTTACTTTTTCTTTAATTTTCTCTCTTGACGTTTGAAACAGAACTGAACGAATATAGCCGATTACTGTCTGCCGGCGCTTTCTACTCACTCACACACACACACACACACACATGTATATATATGCAACGCTGTGCAGAGTACACGTCAGTGTTAACTTAACAACAGTGTTGCAAAACTCACGATATTATAAAAAAAAAATTATCGATTGTTGTCATTTGACAAACTGATTTTTAAATACTTACTTTTTCTAGCTTAAACTAAATTGATTTATTGCTATTTTAAATTTAAGTAATTTGTCACTTTGTTGCGTTCCTTCTTGAGTAATATTGTCTATGTTGTCTTTCTTTTCTTTTTTTGGCTTCGATTATTAATTACTTTTGTAACTTTGTACACGGTTTCACAGTTTGTTTATATATTTAAAAAAAAAAAAATAGTAATCCTCTTATTGTTGATCGCACGTAGTATGTTTATATTCCAATAAAATTGCGCTTTTCTATATGCCGATACGTGTTATTTCTTTGCTGTCTGTATGGAAACTGTTGGCTGCTCTCCGCAATGCCGGGCTATTTATTCAAGCGTCTTGTTTACGCTCTGACGTGTCGACCACGTCAGTGTCTGGTGCAATTCTGATTGGCGTTTCGTGGCGCGGGCCGATATATCTGATTGGCCCACGCTCGAATGTTCCCCACGCATATGGAAAGAGAGCGTGTTGCCAAAAAGCTTTGTTTTGTTTGTTGCGCTTTCAAACACAGTTTTCGTCATCATCGTCAAGTCAAGGCTGATGACACTGACTGCTGCGCTCTGGCTCGCTCTCACTCTCGCTCTTTCTCTTACTCTAGCGTTGCGCTTGTTTCGGTGCATGAAATTTATGTTATTTTTTATGAAAATAAATAATTCAAGTATGGTTTTCTTTTTCTTTTTTTTGGCAAACACTGACGTGTACTTAGCGCTAAATGAAATGTATGCTCCAAAAATGTTTTCGAACAATTTCTCGAATGCATTTTCCAGCACTTTCTAGAAATATTGCAATGCAGCCTCTAACACTGTCGCGTACCGTTAGCTGATAAGTTTATCTAGCGGTTCCATCAAATAAAACGCCCATTTACATTTATTTGATTTGATTTAGTTTTATGATTCTTGTAATGACACACAATCGATATCAATATATTTATTTTTCTTTTTGTTTTGGTTTTTTTTTTGTTTTAATTCTTTTTTCATAACAATAATAGCATTAATAATCATTATCAGTGACATGCCCAACATACAAGGTAATTTCCCAAAGTTGTATTCAACATTTTGTGCGATTTATCAATTGAATATCAACAAATATCTTTTCACGTTTAATATGCATCTGACTAAGGGTGGAAATTCGCTAAGCTTCCGAAATTGAACTTATCAAGTAAAACGGCGTCTGGCAAAATCTCATCCAAGCTCAGTGGACGATTTGGCTTGCGATATCTTTATATTATTAAACTATTTATCTTAAGGAGCGAAAGGCAACTGGGCAAAAATGTGCCGCACAAATTTCTATTTGCTGCCAATAAATATTTCTTTGCATAATCTAAAAAAAAAAAATAAATAAAAAAATAATAATATAAAGAACTTGTTTATATGGCATTTTGTTTGCATTATAATGGGTTCATTTTTTTTTCTGTTTTTTTTTTGTTACTTTTGCTTTTTCCATAGTAAAATTGTGGGCATGACGAATTATTCAAAATGTCACCGCATATAAGTTTATAAATATTTAAATATTACAATTGTTGCTGTTTCTTGTTTACTTTTTAAAAGCTAAATTTGGTCAATAAAGTTGAGCTAATCTCATTCAAAAAGTTACAAAAAAAAAAAAAAAAAACACGAGAAGACTAGAAAATAAATAATAGTATATAAAAAAAAAAAAACAAACAGTTTTAGAAAAGGCGAAACCTGAGCAAAAAGAAAAAGCGCATCAAAAAAATATAGTTTTAACAGTTATTCGACTATAGTTACAGTTAAAGTTTACAGCTGACAGTTTTACAGTTATAATTGGGCGTGGTTTCAGTGTGTGCACAAAAAATTTGCATAAAAATGTTTGCATACTTTTTTTTTCATTATTATTATTTTTTGTTTTGTTTTTGTTTTTGTTTTTTTTTAAACTTGAAATTTTCATTTAAATGTTTCGTAATTAGTTAATTGCTTGTGGTTTAGGTTTTGCTTTGTGTTCTCTTTTTAATAATATAATGAAACACGTTGAGTTGCCATAAAAATGTTGTTGTTGTTGTTGCAGTTCATGATGTTGTTGCTGTTGGTGTTGTTGTTGTTGTTGTTGGTCCAAACACAATTGATAAATAACTAGATTCTGTAGTCATTGACTGGCTTGCTTTGTAAATAGTTGTAGTAAATATATATAGTTAATAGATACACAGGCTAGTTAACAATATCAACAAATGGGCGTGCCGACGCCTGCATTCTTAGTGTATGTGTGTGTCGGTGTGTATGTGCGTCTCGGCTATGAACTGAGCTGTGCTCATCAGCTCATATCTCTCTCTCTCTCTCTCTCCCTCTGTGACACACTTGTTGTCTATATCATGCTGCCTCTCTCTCTCTCTCTCTCTCACACTCTCTCTCTCTCTCTTTCTATTCATGCCGCACACCACATATGGACAGGAACGTACTGAAATTGTGCAAACTGCACGCCGGCAACACGGTATACACTACATTCGCCATCTCCTGACATTTGTGCCGGAAATCGTGCAACGCCTGCAACAACAGATCTGTTGGCGGTGCCGCATTCACCTGATAGAATAGCTTCAAATGTATCGCTGGCAATACGCTGGCGGCAGATGAGGCTGGCTGATCCCCGCCGCCACCGGGCTGCTGTTGCAGTTGTGCCTCTGTGGGCGTGGCAGTGCTATGTGCCGCCTGCTCATCAGCCTCGCGCTGCAGCTGCTGCTGCTGCTGCTGCTGCTGTTGCTGTTGCCGCTTGGCCAGCGGATAATCCTTGAGCAGGCGATTCACAGTATAGGTGAGTATCTCGTCCAGATGCTCGGCGCTGAGGCTCTGCGCCAAGCGGCAATGATTGCCCAGCACATCGTCGCTCAGCTGCGTCAATTGGGTGGTCGACGAGGCCAAACCGGTGGCCACATAGCAAACAATTGCCGCACAATTGTTCTCATAGTTCCAGCGACGACGTATCGAGATGGTATAATCGCTCACCGAACAGCCCGTTTCCTCATCTACAAATTAGAACATTCAATCCATTATCGTACTCAACATAGAGGCTATTATAAGTAGGTCACGAAGGAGACATCTCTTACACTATAAAGCATATATATATATTCTGGTTCGGTCGAGTCTGTTTCTAATCTCTCAGCTTTAGGTTTATTGTGATGCAAGTTTGCAGGCAGGTTTTTTTTTGTCATGGACAACATTTCGGAATATTTAATTTGCTGGAGATATCTTCTATGATAAAGAGCATATCCATATCGGATTACCATATCATATTTGGAGATTGGAGGTATTTAGTAAAAGGTAAAAGAAGGTATCTAAAAAGCAAATTATTCTGGCTTCTTGAAAAATGCTTATAGAAAAGGTTATCGCTATCGATATTTATCGATTAGGTGAGAGCAAAGCGAGCTAGCGCTGAGTAGAAAGAAACTCTGGCTAAATGGAGCTGGCTGTTATTGCCAATCAGGAATATATATATATATATATATATATATGCATTATGGTGCCGGAGTTGTCTCCTGCTGTCTATTGCATGACGTCAATGGAACTTACAGTCGAATCGATCGTTATGGGTGTGTGCCCACACCTGCCATTCGACGAGCGCCTCGCGCGGTAGTGCTGGCAGCACAATATAGTCCATGATGGCGTTTGTGGTGCGACGCTCCCATAGGCGGCGCGCCTCGCCAATGAAGGCGGGATGGGTGACAAAGCAGATGCCATGGACGACATCGCGCAGCTGTCCCTGGGCATTCATTGCCTTGGCAATGCGACTGATGTGACGCAAGGTGAGCTTGCACTGGGGCCGGATGCCGCCCTCGATGATTGTCATGCTGCCCGGCACAAGTGCAATTTGGCCCGAGATGTAGGTGATGTCGCCAATCTGGAATGCGTAAGGGTGTACAATGTAAGCGACTGTGTCCCAAACGCCCAATTGCCCAACCGCTCACCCGCGTTGACTGGCTGTAGGGGCCAATATTGGCGGGCGCCCAATGCGATATGCCCTGGACATGCATCGTGTTTCGCCGGCCATTGAGCAGCTGTTGGGTCTCCTCGCTATCATCGCCGCTGTGTGTGGCCGGGGCATGATAGGCAATGGCCTCCATAATTACATGACAATCATCCGGCAGCGGGCATTCAACACAGACGCGCGTGGGCGGATTATGAAAGCCAAACGATTGCAAATAGATGCTATTCAATGCCGGATACTCGGCTATGGAGCGCACATAGAGCGTGGTAAAGCACAAATCCTGCAGCTCATAACCATTGCTGGAGCAGAGCTCACGCAGCGTATGCAAGGCCTGTTGCATGCCCTGCTCCATGTTGGCGGCACAGCCTGAAAGCCAAAGAGAATAGAGTATTTAAGGAGTTGTTGGTTGGTTAATTGAGATTAAAGCTAGTAAGTGCACTCTGATTGGTTACCCTGTATGCCGGCCAGCCACATCCAGCCCTTGGCATTGATGGCCGCTTTGGCCTGATTGGCAAGTGGACGAAATTCACGTTCATATTTCATTGGACTGGGCGGCTGTGTATAGCCCGTTGGCATCGTCGCCGTCGCCGCCGCATTATTGTTGCACTGTGTGGTGCTCAGCCCAAGCGAGGAGATGGCCAGCGACAGCGAGCCGCATACGGCGGCCGTGCTGCTGCCCAATGGATGGGAGCTGCCAAAGCCGCAACAGCTGTTCGCCTGCAATGCAGCACCTGCTGTGGCACCCAATGCCAATGCCGATGCCGATGCTGATGCTGATGCCGCACCAGCTATCCCTTGATTCGCATTGGCCAGCAGCAGCAGAGAGGCGCTGCCCGTCATACAGCTGGCCGTCGGTATGGGCTCGTCGACGCTGGCGCTCTTCGTTACAATGGGTATCGGCGAGGACGATGATGTTGCCAAATGTCTGCCAAATGAATTGCTGCGCGATATCAACTCATTCTGGCTAAGTGATTCGCGCATGCGCGTCTCCTTCTCAATTAGCTCCAGTTCGGTTTCACTAAAATCCGGATCGCTCAGATCGCTGTACGTCGACTCATTGAGATCGCTTATATAGTCGAGTGACTTTTTAACAAAGACCACATCGCCGCCAGCATTTGGCTCCTTGGGCTGCAGCGTTAGCTTCGTGAAATTGATATACCCAACGGGGCAGATCGGATCGGCGCTGCTAATTATCGTCTGTATATCCTCGACAGAGATGCGCTGCTTGAACAGCGGACAGTCGAGCGTGAATGTCTCATATTCGCCGCCCTCGCCGCACACATTCAAACCATACTTGTCGCGCATCTTCAGCAGATGAGTTTGCATCTCGCGCAACGATTTGCCCAAATGACGATCCGGCACCAGGCCCAATGCAGCGACCTAAAACCGATTGAGTTGGGATTGAATGTTGTATTGATATTCAATTGGGAGAGACTCACCTTGATGATAATGGCATGCACCTGACAGTCGATCATCTCCTGCAGCAGTTCAGTCTGATCTCTCCTCCACAAATAGGCCAAGGATATCAGGTTGAGGCGGCTGCACACGTTCTCCACACGCACACGCTGATAGTCTGACAATATGGCACCAACAGCCACCGCCTCCACATTTAGTTCGTGCTGCAACAGCAAAAAACATTATAAACAACATATTTGAACATTCGGTGCAACGAAATGTACATTTGTCGTGGTCGAAATTCTCTTTAACGTGTTCTTTTGCAGCAAACCCTAAATTGTTTTCTAACTTTATATTTAAGCTTTATTTATGATTTTTGATTAAACTTGGAAAAGACGCGCACACATATCAAATTTCAGCTCAATACATGGCATATTTCTCGAGTTAGGGAACTTGGAAGAATTTTGTAGAAAATACATTAAATCGCCTCTATAAAGGCTTTAGTTTTGGTATTTATGCTAAATTAAGGTGCATTGCATGCACATAGAAAATTTTAGCTGAGTATATCACAAACTTTCTCAGTTATAATCCTCCTAAGCTTTCGTTATTTCTATGTGCTATGCAAAATAAATGTCATTTAATCCGAGGAATTTTACGTAAATCCATTTACAAAGAAGCTACATACAAATTTTCAGCACAATACGTCAAGTAGATTCTGAGTTATGATCCTGAACCACTTGGAAAATGGATTGAAAATAGCCCATTCTTGCACTTTGAAGTCTCGTTCGCCTCTCAAAACCATCTGAGACTAGTTTGGGTACCGAAATTTCAGGGCTATGACCCACTTTCTAATTGGATAACATCTTTCGATTTAAAGTGCTTTGTCATGGAGCTTCGCGTTGCATTCATAATGCAAAACGCTGAAGTCTAATCAAATAATTTGTTCATAGTTCACGTGCTTGGTGGCATTTTTGATAAGATTACACGATTAACCATTGCGAAACTAATTTCCGCAACTATATATATATATATATACATATATTATTTTAGTTTGTTTTGTTTGTGGGGCGTTTCCCGTACAAGGACAAGGACAGACAGTCAACAATCATATAAAAAAAATGCTTAGCAACTGCTGCCGAACGCACAGATATCCTATAAAAACTATGAAAATCTTACGAATTACGAAAGTAAATTTAAATATAAACTCAATTCTTTTTGATATATGCTAAACGAGTTGGAAATTCGTAAAGAGGATTTGGCTTTGTGCAAATGAATCTAACAGGCAGAAGAATGTATATCTATATCTATACATATATATATGTATATATATATATATAATATTCTTGATCAGCCAGGCGACACGGCTGTCTGTCCGTCGAACTTGCAAACTATAAGAATTGAAGACTTGATATGATCTCGTATATATCAACTCATAAACGTATTTTCTCGATATTTCCTATTACACTTATAATATCGATAAGAATCGATTTCTACTCAAAACTTGGTAATTAGGCTTACATATAACAAATATTTCCGATTTTATAACACCTCATCTCATTAAATGTGTATATATAAGGTATATCAAGCTATCTTCTTTAGTCCTAGCCTAAGCTTACATTTATTTTGTGGTTTAGTTAATTTATATTTTTCTATTTGTTTAATTTAAAAATTGTTGTTTTTTTTATTTATTGTATTTTTTACAGTTTTGTTAATATATTTTTGTTGACTTTTCAATTTTTTATTAATTATTTATTAACTTTTTTACTATTTTCAAATAGTTTTTGGACTCAAGATTTCTGTATTTCTGTTATTTGCATGCTTTTTTAATAGTTAACGAAATTTATATAAATTTATTATTTATTTTTGCATAATAGTTTAAAAATGATTTGTTTTTAATTATACTCTTTAAATATATTTATATAATATTTTCAAATATTTTAAAAATTATTTTTTTATTTTTTTTTTTTATATTTATATATTTAAGCTTTTTATTTAACAGGCTTCTTTAATTGTTTATGTGTGAGTTTCAATAAGTTTAGGCTTTTAAGCTGATTTAATTCGTTTTGATTTATTTATAAGTTCTTGATATTTCAAGTTTTTTGCTCCAACTCGCATGAGCATATATTTGAATTGAATTAATTTAATTTAAAATTTTAATAAATTGAAAATTAATTAAGACTGTTTTTCAACTGAGAACTTCCTATGGAAAGAGCTAAGTCTCAGCTAAGTCAATGCCAGACCATGAGACCAAAGCAAGCAAAAAACTGTTGCTTTTACAGGGTATAAACGTGCACGTCAACGCTAGCGTCATTCGTGAGGTATTTAGCATCGACAATCGCTAATCTCTGGGCTTTAATCTTTTCAATTCAAACCGAAAGAGAGACAGACAGACACAGAGACAGACAGACATATCGACTAATTGTTATACCTTATGGGCTGGCCCCTCACCTTGCACGTCTCCAGCAAACTGTAGAGATCCTCGACTTCATCATCATCGGTGGGCACATATTGCTTGCCGGTCTGTGTGCTCTTGCCCTTCGTCTCGCGCCGATACAGCGGCAGGCCCATGGCGCTGGCGAGTATCTCGATGCCCATGTGGCCAACGGTCTGGTACATAAAGCTGTCCAGCTCATCTAATGTTTCGGACACATACATGAGAATTGATAAGTAAATATGTATACTGTGCGATATGTGCGAATTAAGGTTTCACCTCTGTCCTTGGGATGCAAATTGGCTAGGGCGACAATTTCGTGACCCTCGGCGACGCACTGCATCATATTGTAGCAGCTATCCTTGCCGCCACTTACCATTGCTACTACGCGCATTTTGTATGTGTGTGTGTGGGGTGGAGGCGGGGATGGGGTTAATGAATGTGAGTATGTGTGTGCGTGTGGGTGTTATTTGGTTTTTGCTGCTCGGGTTTAGCTGGAGTGTGCGCTCATTTGGTCTGTTTGTTGACTAGACTTGTTTACAATAAAGAACGTGGCGTCTTCTATTAACACAGAGCGGCTGTTATTGATGTATTTGCTGTTGTTGTTGATGTTGTTTTTGTTGCTGTTATCTTGTCAACTGTAAAGAGCAAAGCATAAGGACAGTTCATTAGTGATGCGTTTATTGTTGTTGTTGCTGTTGTCGTTCTTGCTGTTCTGTTAAAAGCTCTCTCAGGTGGCTGTAAAATCTAATTAAGTCACAACATAATATCAAACGCAAGTGTTGCCACTTAATGCACTTTGGCAGGCAGCGGGCAGCGGGCTGCGGGCTGCGACGACAACAGCAGCTGCCATGCGATGTAAACACACATAAACCTCATCCGATTGATGTTTTCAGTGTGCGGACCAGGATGCTGTTACTTTGATTATAATTGGCAAAAGTCGGCCAAGCTAAATGATTGCGCGAAGGTCATACACAAACACACACACGCCCACTAACTTGCATACATATTGAAACGCATATGTAGAAATGTACATTTACACAAATACACACGAATGTCACACATTTTTGATATATTACTGGCGCCGCTTGTCTCACTGCTGACCCAAATATAAAATTTTTCTATGCTCTAGGCGTTTACATATACCAAAATTTTGATATTGTTTTAATATTTACCCGACCCGTTTCTGGCCGTGCGCAACTTTATGGAATTCGCACACTTGTGTATTATGTTATGCCCTAGAGATGGGCGATAGTTTTGCACATATACCTAACAGCGATAATTCACAATTAAATATGCTTATAAGTTAAAGAGGTTGCTTACTTTTAAATTTGTTATTTAAAATAAATAAAACTTTTATATTTTATTAAAAGAAACCCGTTTTATATTTATGTTAAGCATGCCAAGAGATTACTTTGACTATAGTCTGTCAAACTTAATTATTGCTATTCTTTACATCGAATTCGTCACATGGCACGTGCCGGTGGCAACACACCGGGTAAGCTTTTGTTAAAATCACTTTGAAAAATCAGTTGCTGAAATTTTTGAATGGCGTTAAACATTAGCTGAAGTCACAGTATGGCACATCTCTAATGTTAGCTGGCCATGATGTTAAACTGGTCGTACATTTTAAGTTTGAGTCAAATGGTTGTTCTAATATAGTTTAGCTAAATTACCACAGCGATATGCAACAGCTAAAATGTGGCTTGCATATGAGCTCAAACTGCACTGCTTAACTGAGCTGTTTGGCTTACGTAACGCATTTTTGCGCTTATGTTTGCACTTTTTGCGCTTACGCCTCTGTTAATCGTTACTGTTATTTTAACTTTACGTTGTGCTTGCTACGTTTAACATTGTCATCTGTTTTTGAAAAGAAACCAATAAATATTATCATATTTCAATTTAATCTTCAAAATTTAGCATTAAAAGTCATTTGGCAACCAAATCTTTCAAATATATCAAAATTTTAATCACTAACAAGATGTTGATGCAATCAAATGGAATAAATCAATTGTTCACATAGAGTTCGGTACCCGAGTGTGTGTCAACAAAGGCAGAAGATAATACAACAACAACAACAACAGCAACAAACAAGGAAAAACAAAACAAAAATGAACAATATACCGCAAAGTAAACACTATAATTTAACACATTACCAACAGCGCTACAATTGGGATTGCGGTATATCCTGCATACTGATGATATTGTCCACCGCACAACGCAAACAGTTCCTCAACAATTTCGAGACCATCTGCAAGGAGGAGGGCTTCGGCGTCAGCACCTGGACAATTGATCTATGCTATCTTCTGCAGCGCTATAATGTGCGACACGAGTACTTTACTCAAACACTTGGAATCGATCCTAGCTACAAGAAGCACATGTACTATACGCGCATAATTGACAAGGACGAGAGGCGCGTGCTGCGCCGCTTCAAGGAAGCCAAGGCGCGTGGCCTCAGCGTCGAGAAGCGCACAGTGGGCATGCCTGTAATCGTTTCGCATTTGGCGCGCCATGGCCCAATTATATTACTGACAAATGCCTCACTGCTCGTCTGCGAGATCTGCCGCAAAACAATACGCGACAGATTTGGGTAGGTAATCGTTATGTTACGCGATCTTAGTACAATGCACGGAATACACAAACACAACACACTCGCACACACACACGCGCACTCACACAATGACGGGCGAATTAGATAAATAGAGCGACTCAAGGTCATGTCCATGGCCTAATAAATTCTACTTGCGATCAACTCACACAGCTTTAAGTCGTGGCGTTGCCACACTTGCGCACACAATATCACTTGCACACACAGCGCTCAAAATGGCACTGTTGCTGCTTATCGATAACATTTGCTAATTAATCGAAAATCGGGCTGGCACAGCTTTAACCGCCATTTCAAGCATTTCAAATATTTTAAAGCTGTGTATTCGTGCACAGTATTTGATTGTACTTATTTTATGTGACTTTAGCCTAAATGTTGGCTAATTATCAAGTTATTCTCATCAATTTGTTTGTTTCCCAAACAAAAGGTATGCGGGACACTATGTGGTGCTCTGCGGCTATGATATAACCACGCGTAAACTGTTTTATCACAATCCGGAAGTACGCGACGGACGTAAGTCAACGAAATTAACTGATAATTCTGATAATCATTAATTGCCAATCGATTCCAGATGTTTGCCGCTGTTTTTCTGGGGCAATGGACAACGCTCGTGTTGCCTTTGGCACCGATCAGGACATCATATTCATTTATGAGAAGACGAATCGCAAAAAGTAGATGACAAGTGCTCGGCGACACCATGGCCGATGCAATAGTACCTGCCCAGCAGTTTCCAGCGTTGTTGTTGTTAAATGGAACTGCGCGCCTATGTGATATTTTAATTAGGCATGGGATCTGATTCTGCTAGGCTGGGCGTTTCGCCTGAAGTATCTAATGATTGCGTTGCCGCAGTTTTCACCAGCTAACTATTATTATATATATTTTTATATTATATTAAATATAAGCTTCGATTTTTTTATATTTTTTTTTTTGTATTTACTGTAAAATTGTAACCTTGTTAGATAAGTTCTTATGCATTTTATATGTGTATGCTTGAGTTTTTGTTTTTTTTTTAATAATGTTTATGCTTTAGTTTAACAAGTTATTGTTATTTAGTTTAACAGTTGGTCCCCATTCAAAAACAACAACAATTTCTATAAGATCAATGCGTTTGCAATACATTCGTAATCCCAAGTAAGCCAAGACAAATATTTATAGAACTGGATCTTTTCTGATTTAATATCGAAATTATTAAGTATTATAGTTGAATAAATAGACTGTAGCGCCTAGTTATTAAATATTTTGTAATTCCGCACGCATTATATTACAAATATTTGCCTGAGATTACTTGAGACTTTATGCCTTGCACATTCCAAGATCGCGTTTACATAGAAATATATATATATATATCTATATAGAATATATATAAAAAAAAAATGGTCTATAAAAATTGTGTTTTGAACTTTACTGTTGCTGCATCGACGGAATATCCTTATTGTTCTCATAGTTGAGCTGTTTAGTTAGCAGCTGGAGCTTAATGTGCGGCGCCTCCACGGGCAATATAATCTCGCCGGCATCGTTTGTATATTTGGCGTACAGCTGCTCCGAGAATGGCTGAAAGCCCTGGGAGCACAATATCTTCTGGGAGAATATGCCGGTGGCATCGGCTTTGAGCAGACGGAAGCCGGATTTGCGTGCCACCTGCTCGGCGCGACGCACCAGCTCCTTGGCGATGCCCTGGCCCCGGAAGCGTGCATCCACCGATAGGATGCGCACATCAAAGATGCGCTCCACATTGTAGCGTGCAAATAGATCCACCTGCAGGCTGTGCCCGTAGAGCAGCTCAAATATCTTCTTGTAATTTTCGTCCATGCTGTGCTGTAGTTTTTCCAGCGCCTCTTCCGTATCGCCCGGACGCAATATGCCGTTGAGTATGACACCAGCTATTTGGCCATAGGTGGCGCTGTCAGCGCGCCCATCGACGGCCATCAGGCTGAGCTGATCCTGCAGCGTTGCCAGACTGTGATGCTCCAGTTCAGCGTTGCCACCGCCATGCTGGCAGAGTCCGGCCGCATGATTAAGCGGCTCGTCGGCAAAGAAATTTCCACGCAAATGCTCAATCACTCGCTCGAAATGCTCTTCTGTAATCACTTTGTACTCCATTTCTAATAGATTTCTTTAATATTCTATTGATTATGGACGTTTTTATTGGAAAGCTGTGGGAAGCACAAAGTTAATTCAAAGATGAAACACAGAAGTTTATAAATTGAAACTCCTCACATCCTTACGCAATATGTATGCTATGTAAAAGTTAATTGAACATATGTAGCATACTTATTGGGATGTTTTAAGGCAATGAAAACTTTTAGAATCGGCATAAGTATGCTTTACAAATAATATTGCTATATTATCCTATCAATGGAATTCATCTTATGTTTTCAGCATTTAATTGAATTCCTAACAAAGCTTTGCATACACAAAGGTACTCATATGTACAGTGGTCGCACGCTAAGTAAAACGCGTGTGTACTAGAAAATGTATAGCTTAAACAACACAAAGTGTACGAGATTTAATTCAAACAAAAAATAATATTTTACTATTCACGTGGTTTCTTTTTTCCAAAGAAATATTTTTCGAATTTCGCGCAGTTTCAATTAGCGAGCGATCACTGTATTTAAGTGCGCACACTGTCTATACACATGCACACACACACACACATACATGTTAGATGCCAGCTGCCATTGGCATTTTTGCTTTCATAACATAATTAGAGAGAACGCAAAACTCTCACGCACACAGACGCATTCCAACACGCATACACTCTCTCAGACACGCTCACTGCGCCTTTGTTGTTGTTTGTTGCTGCTGCTGCTGCTGCTTCTGCTGCGATTACAATCGCATTATATTCAACATTTACGACGCCTAAGCGACAAAGTCCTGTTACATGCACACAACTCTCTGCCGCCCCCCTCTGACCATGCAAGCAAACTTTATCACTCTGACATCACCTGCACTGCAATGTGTATATTTACATTATCTTCTTTGCACTTGGCTTTTTGTAGCTGTAAATCTCTGTAGATTTATATTAATTACTTACTTAGTGGCTTTTGGTGTCTTTGGAGCTCTCTATTTGATTTTCTAATTCGCGGAAGCGTCAAAAAAAATGTGTAACCTACTTGCGGGCGCTGCAAAATGCGAACTGCGCCAGCAGCAGCATCCCAGCTGAGCTTCTGTTCCTGTGCGAGAAAAATATACGTGCCAGTGGCGTCTGTGCTGGGCGCTCGGCTCAACAAGTCGTTTATTGGCCAACCCATGCCCCCACTCGGCGGACGTCTATGGCCATAACTGTTAACAGCTAGCAGGATGCGTGCGTGTGTGCGTGCCTGTGCGTGTGCCTGTGAGCGAGTCATTGCCTGCTCGTGACTTATGCGACATGACAATAAAAATGCAGGAGAGAGCGCAAATGAGAGAGAGAGAGAGGGACAGAGCTGCCTTTTGTTCTTCTTGTGTCATCCCTGCTCCCACTCCTTCGCAAATACCACACAGATATTTGACAGTTTTTTTGCGCCAACTGTTGATTCACTCTGTTTTGACTGAGCGTGTGTGTGTGTGTGTGTGTGTGTGTGTGTGACTGCCTCACGCAAATTACGCTTGTGTGTGTGTGTATGCGTGCGTGTAACTGTATTATGTGAATACATACGAATTTTGACTTTTATATGACTTACTCGAGGACTTGAGCTTAAAGCGGTGTCACTTGCTCAACAAATATTCGTGCCTTAATATTGTGAGATAAAAATGGAGAACGCATTAACTAAGCTCTACAAATTGATGCCATAACCGTTTAAATTTGTATTAATTTCTACTTTTTAATTCATTTTCAACGCGCATTTCGCTTGTGTTAAATTCATTCACCTGTTGAATGCATTGCATGGCAACAGCAGAGTTATTTTATCTATATGTATCCAATCTTTAGCATGTAGATAATTTTATCTAAAAACTTAAATGTCTTTAAATAATTAGCCAACACACGTTTTCAATGCAACACTTCTGAGAAAGCATGAAAACCTGCTGGAATTCTAGTCGAATTCTTGAGAATCGCATAGTAGGTCGTTGTACGTTTTATAACGTTCTAATATGCAAACACACACAAACTCACATATACACACACACACGTACAAAGTTTATTGATTAGCTAACACCATTTTTCAACACGTCCTTTAACGAAGGACTTACATGAATTCTTGAGAATCGCATAGTAGGGCGTTTTATAACATTTCAAAGCAAAACATACTAACGAACGTAGATAATTATCGAAACTTAAGCTAATCGGATAATGTGCCATATTTGCGGGTAGAATTTTCAGAAATCCAGTCATACCCTGCACCTTTCATGACATAGGGTAACTAAAGTAAAAAGTTTAGTCTCGTAGTTTCTACGGATCAGCAATCAGTCCGTCAGGATAATATATATATATATATAGATAAAGATATAGATAGGTATTACACTAAAAAATGATTAAAGTTATATCAAAGTAGTTAAAGTGACCTTCACGGCTGTGAGAGGGAGAGAGAATCCATTACGTTCCGGCATTACGTAGCCGTGTAATTGCAGATTTATGGGTTGACAATTTGGCTTGGCATCAGATTCGTTATGGGACCCAGCCACGCCCCATAGCCATTGTTGCTCGGCCCTGGCACTGGGCGAGACTGAGAGACCTCGGCAATTGTCAAACCCAATGCAGTACATTATTATTTTAATAAATATTATCAACAACATCAGTGGGCCGTGGTCGTACACAGCCAACTATATAAGGTGTACACGTGTACCTTAAATTTGTTTTTGTTTTTGTTTTTGTTTCTCGCTTTTTTATTTATAAATGTTTTTGGGCACATGACGGCACAAGACGCATACTCAAATGGCGTGACTCGGACCACCCCCATGGCTGCCCAGCCAAAAGTCTTTGCGGCCGTGCTCTACCCGAAACCCCCTCTTTGCTGAGTGTTGTGCGTATTGTTGTTAATCAGCATCAATTCAAAATGTATTTGATCTAACGGCCAATGCAGCGATTTGGCAGCACTGGCCTAGAGATGTGCGTGAGTAGAGATGCATGGCAGCGGGCACGAAAAATGAAAGCACGATGCATCTGAATATCTCAGCTATCTACAACTGAGAAGGGGAATGGGGATCAACTAAGCCAAAATGCACACTTTCACTTTGTAGAATGTGAATAGGTTTTGTTTTAGCTATCAAGCTGAAATCAAATCAAATTTAAATTTCGTCTCAGCTGATATGCTCGATCTATTCAACTGATCTAACCGCAATTGATCGGTACTCACGCGCTCATCTCTAGCTTGACGCGTCCATCGCCGGCAGCTGCAGTGGAACAAGCTGAGCGCGCGGACCAACGGTCGCGCTTCACTTTTATCCATACGTCATTTTGGACGTAGGCGTTGACGTCGGCGTCGACGTCGACGTCGGCGTCGTCGTCGTCGAGCGTTGCGCTATTTGCCGTTTTGTCCCATTTCGCTGTCGTCTGCTTTGCTTTGCGGTTCTCGTTCTTGGTCTCGGCGCTCGTTCGTGTTTATTTCTGTATATTTGTCGCATATATATACATATATATATATATATATATATATATAGTTTTGGTTAATATTTTGTTGTTCTTATTTATAGTTTACAGTTTGGGCATTGTTATTATTGTTCTTGTCCTTGTTGTTGACAAAAATTCGGACCGACAGCTGGTCGAAAACGTAACTGGCGACAACGTAACTGTCACGTTAACGTTAACGGTAACGGTAACGGTAATTTGAAATAATGGCTGCCAAAGATCGTCTGCCCATATTTCCATCGCGCGGGTGAGTACACCCCCGCACACACCCGCACACCCGCACACCCGCGAGCTGCTGCATTTTATGTATTTGTCGCGCAGGGCACAAACTTTGATGAAATCGCGTCTGGCGGGCGCCACAAAGGGCCATGGCCTGCTTAAGAAGAAGGCCGATGCGCTGCAGATGCGTTTTCGCCTGATTCTGGGCAAGATCATTGAGGTAGGTAGGCAGCGACACGGTTGACAGCGAACATATTGAAACTCTCGCATTGTTTGGCCATAGACAAAGACACTGATGGGCCAGGTGATGAAGGAGGCGGCCTTCTCGCTGGCGGAGGTCAAGTTCACGACGGGCGACATCAATCAGATTGTGCTGCAGAATGTGACCAAGGCGCAGATCAAGATACGCACCAAAAAGGATAATGTGGCGGGCGTAACCCTGCCGCTGTTCGAGCCATATCAGGATGGCGTCGATACCTACGAGCTGGCCGGCCTGGCGCGTGGCGGCCAGCAGCTGGCCAAGCTAAAGAAGAACTATCAGAGCGCTGTCCGGCTGCTTGTCGAGCTGGCCTCGCTGCAGACATCCTTTGTAACGCTGGACGATGTCATCAAGGTGACCAACAGGCGTGTCAACGCCATTGAGCACGGTTCGTTATCGCATCCATCGGTTGCACCAATTGTTTATCGTATTGCCTTGCATTTTAATCGAATATCGTAATTTGTTTATCGTATGTGACTGATGCACGGCACAGTGATAATACCGCGCATCAATCGCACCATCGAGTATATCATCAGCGAACTGGACGAACTGGAGCGCGAGGAGTTCTATCGCCTCAAGAAGATACAGGACAAGAAGCGCGAGGCCCGCAAATCGGCGGATCGGGCGCGCGAGGAGCTGCGCCGCCAGGGCTATACCGTGCCCTGCAGCGAGGAGGCGCAGAGTATACTCGAAAACGATGGCGACGAGGATCTGCTCTTCTAGACGTTTCGCTCAAATCTTCTGATGCCCCTCCACACACACACACACACACACTACCTCATTGGCAGATTGTGACGCCTTTTTCAAGTCTTTATTCAATTTCGTTTACATTATGCTCCAATTTGTTTTTTGGTTCTGGTTCAGCAACTGCTCCGTTGTTGTTGTTGTTGTTGTTGTTGTCTGCAGCTAATGAAATTATGTACACGTATTTAACAATGTATTTGTATTATTGTTATTATTATTATTATTATGATTATTATTATGATCGTTATTGTGTGCGCCTTTTGTGTGTTTCTTTTTCATTTGCTGAATATCGTTTTAATTTTTTTTATTTTATTTTTTTATTATAATAGACGCCATTCCACATTAATATCTGTCTTATTAAGTGGCAAATTTGCATTCCAGCGTCAGCGATATGGCTGCCCCTTGCCCCTACCATACACACCCCCTCACAACCCACCCAACCCTACCGCCTGCCCCGTCCATGCCACACATGGCCTCAACCCATGGCCGGCACGCGTCGATCCATAAGCCGCAGCGCAGGGCTATTAACAAGCGAGTGTGCGTTAGTCGACCAGCAGATACCCTGTAGTCAACATTTGTTGCAATTTATGCTGCGACTGTGCTCTGCCCATGTCTTTATACCAAATCGCAAGAGCTTAGCTAAATAAATCTTTTATTTAGTAAGTTTTTCGGTGCATGGGCTAGGCATTAGGAATGTGAAATATATATCTTGGCCGATGATTGTGCGAGTACCTATGGACTAGCTGGCTTGTGTTGTTTCCAAGTTATACGAGAATTCAAGTATTTTTCTGTGTAAACCAAACGAAAAGCCACATGCCAAGTTTCATGCATCTAGTTCTCGTAATTCCCGAGTCTTACGAGTATTTAAAATGGAGAAATATCAAAATTTATGCTACGAATAATGTCGAAACGAGGTCGCCACGCTCAGTTCAGAAATATACAGACTTGTCGAATATGCTTTCTCCTTAGCTGTTACATACATGAGCACAAAAACAATATGCCCGTTTTTAGTCGCTGCAGGGCATACAAATTACGTTGGATATGAAGAAAACCTGCGGCATAGATTAACTTTCAATTGGGTTCCTGATCTCGTTGTGGTTGCCCGTTTGCTTTGGGTCGATTTGAGTTAATAATAGGCGAGACATAAATTCATTTATTTTATACACATATAAAATCATTGTGTTTATTCACACATACATATATACCATAGATGGTTTGCTTAAACACGTAATAGTTTGCCATTGACCACTGTGTTTCTTTTTTTTTTTTTTTTTTTTTAAAGAATGTTTTTTTCTCACAGTTTTGTTGCTGTTCTAATTTGTTTTTAAACCTTTTTTTGTAGTAGTTAGCTTTCTTTTTTTTTTTGCATTAATTGCATCTTTTGCGTTCCTTTAAATTCGGCTTGTTTATTTTTTTATTGAGTTCTTAGCGACAAATATGCACGAAGCGTGAGCTCTACGAAAAAAGCTACAAAAAAAAAATGAGTATGCGGAAACTTTGCCTAGACGAGCAGTGTAAATGGAGCGGCCAGTGTAAATGGTTCTCAAGTTGAAAACTTGACATGGATTATATCTATGAGAATATACTTATATATATATGAATATTTTTTTTTTTAAATTTTTTTTTTTTTTTATTGTATACCAAGTACTTTGACTACAATTTGTACTTTTTAAATATGTTTTATTTTTTTTTAATTCTTTCATATTTGTTCTGGTTCCAAAAAAAAAAAAGTTCAATGAACCAGACAAATTAACGGCAAAAGCTCTTGGGGCACGCGCAAAGTCGAAGCTTTTTTGCGGAACTTTTGGAATTTTCCGTTTTTTTTTTTTGCCTAGGGGATCTTCAGGGAACTTTCGATCGCATCGTATGCTTATCTCTCCAAAAAGCTCGTAAGCTTGGTCAAGTTTTGATCGTAAGCGAGCGCCACGAATAATATCTGAAACCCGTTGCCTCAGTTGCATTTCAAGAAATAAAGCTCAGTTTGATCATCGATTCCCGATTAAGTTACTTTATAATAAGCTTCATTGATTCAATTCGAGCCGCGCGTATTTTCAAATTTTACATTTATATGCTGCTTTTCAACACTGGAACAAAATTGTATGTCAGGTAGCTTGGTATACCGTTATTTTGCCAATAATGTCACGTCAATGCGCTCAAAGCATGTATGTATATAAATATGTCGCTATGTTTTTTGTATATGAAGAATATGTATATGTATGTATTTGTATATAGATATATATGTATATATTTAGTACTTTGACGACTTATATATATATTCAAAAAAAAAATTGTGTTCTCTTTAACATTAACACTTCACATACACATATACATTTAGAGGAAAAAAGAAACGCGACGCGTCGAATCGCATTCAATTCGCTTTTGACGCCTTTTCATTTTAATTTTGGGATTAATATAACGCTGCATTTGTCAGCTATATGTGTATGTATGTGTATATATATATATCTATATATGTATGTATATATGTATATAAAAAAAAAATGTTATTTATCTATTTGTAAAAGTGCACACGTTTCAGTTACATAAGTTAAGTTTTTCTTTTTAGTACAGCTGCGCGCTTAAAAGCTAAGCTAAGCCATACACAAAGAGAGAGAGAGAGAGAGCGCAATAGAGGGAGCGAGTAAAAGAGCGAGAGAGAGAGAGAGAGAGGCAGAGGCAAGGAGGGAGTGTGTGTGAGAGAGAGAGAGAGAGAGGTGCTCGCGTTAAGCTTTAGGCGTTTGCTGTTTTTGTAATATTGCTGCTGCTGCTGCTGCTGCTGCGGCTGCGGCTGAGGATATTCTGCTTGTTGTTGTTGCGGCTGCGACTGCAGTTGCTGCTGTTGTTGTTGTTGCTGCTGCTGCTGCTGCTACTGTTGTTGTTGTTGTTGTTGTCGCAGCTGTGGCCGTTGGCAACTGTGACGTCATAAATATCTGCTGGGACACTTGAGCGTTAGGAATCACACATTTGTTCTGCAAATGACACAAAAAGAAAGACAGCACAGACAGAAAGAGAGAAAGAGAGAGAGAGAGAGAGAGAGAGAGGGAGGGAGCGGGAGGTAGAGAGCAGATAAAAAGCAGATCAAATAAAAAAATTTGCAACCGAAAAACATTTTCAAATACATTTCGCATATAAAGTGGGAGGGGGCAAGCAAGATAGAGAGAAAGAGAGAGCAAGAAAGAGAAAGAGAAAGAGAGAGAGAGAGAGAGCGGGAACGCAAACAGACATTAACTTTGATAGTTTTTGTTATTCTCGTTTTCGTTCAGTTAGGTAAATATTATTAATATAATTGAATCTTGTGCGTTTTTGTTGCAAACAAAGCGCTGCAAAAGAACTTGGTGATCAGATTAATTAGAAGCAAATACAGTTGCAATAGATTAAATTGATTATCGAAAATAAAACGTTTCATTAATTATGGCATCTTATGCCAGTTGAGCAGTGTGACCGAATTCGAGAAAGAAACTAGCGCAAAAAAAAGGCAAAAAAAAAGAGTCGACAAGATCGTGGTCCTATTATTTTCAAATACTTTTCACTTAAGGCTTCATGAATCGTATTAAGCTACAATTTCACAGTCTGCATATTTTTTGTACTTTCGCTGAGCAGTTTTTCTAGTGCTTGTGCGACTAGCAGATACCCTGTACGCATTCGAAACTTGGCAGATACTCATTTACTCCCACATTCTCTGTTCTCGACTGTCAATGGATTATCAAGCAAATTTGTGTTGATTTTAAGGAATATTCTTGAAGGCCCTCTATAATTTTCGACTAGCAGATACCCTGTACGCTTTAGAAAATGGCCAGATACGTATATCGTCTTATATTATTTGTACTCTACTATGAAAATTATATTCTCAGGCAACTTTGTGTTGATTTTTGAGAAATATTTGATGATAATGTATAATTTCCGACTAGCTGATACCCTGTACCCATATAAATACGGCTAGATTCGTTTTTCCCAATACATTCCCAGTTAATAAATTTCAAGGCAAATTTAGGTAGATTTTTAGAAATATTATTTGAAGACCCTGTAAGAGTTCAGACGAGCAGATACCCTGTACCCATTTGAAAATGAACAGAAACGCATTTTCCACTACATTTTCTGTTCTCCACTTTAAATATTATATTCCCAAACAACTGTGTGTTTATTTAGAGTATAATTTCCGACTTGCAGATACCCTGTAAACACCTGAAAATGGTCAGATACGCTTTTTCTTCTACATGGTCTTGAGAATTTATGTTGTATTCTCAAGAACTTTTATATTGATTTTTGGGAATATTAAGTAAGGCATAGACTGTGCTAAGTATTTGTTGGTTGGGCTTAGAGTTTATAAATATGTTCCAGGTGCACTACTTTTACTTATCAAATAGTTTCGAGACTTGTAGCCTTCTAGTACAGTTTGTACTTCTACTATCAAATCATAAAATTATTTCAAGTTGATTGGTACGGAACTTTAAAATAAGTTGATGTTAGAAAATCGAAACTTAAATATCTGCTTCATTAAAATATAAATTTACATATTTACATGAACTATAGTAAAACTTCTGGAATGGGATTAATAAATAAATTTGTATAAATTTGTATAAAATAATAAAAATGGTATTTTTTCAAAATTTGATTTTTATATTCGGTCACACTGATTTTAACGTAAATGTATCTAGTTTTTTTTTTGTTTTGTTTTGTTTAAATCAAGTATTGACGAATGTTGTTTTAATTGACATGCTGCCAGAGTTTCCAGGCATAGGTCTTGCTGAAATAAGAAACATGTGAAAACCATGCTAAAATCTATTGTTTTGCGGATTCTTAGAGACTGACTAGGGTCTGATAATATGTTGGCATGACATACGGGAAGTTATTTGGGGTCACAATTGGCGATGTAGATCGGTGTTTAAAATATAAGTCATAAGAATGTGTACTCTAAATACATAATATCGTTTACAGTGAACTGTCGCTAGGACGGTTTTAACACTACGTAAACAGCAGCAGCAGCAAAAAACCATAAACAATAAACGAATCTGTAATAAGCGTGTTTTCTTTTTTTTTTTGCCCAGCCTAGAGGCTTGCGCATGGCATGGAGATGGGCGCGTGTTGCAGCTTTGCCGAGGCCAGACACGAGCACGGCACACGAAACACGATTTTACAATACGAGACACGAAGTTGTCTTATTAAAAGGATATTAACAAAATATATATA